ATTTTGAAACTAACACAAGATTATATTTAGGGCTTAAAAAGGGAATGTATGTAGCATGTTTTGTATGGGTACAACACATTTTACAATTGCAAATGGGTAAATATCAGCTGTGTTTATTCTAAATATTATTCTAAACAGACCCAGCTTTCCCAGAGATAATTTAATAGCAATGAGTGTGTGACCATTCCAATTTCACGTATGAATAAATGATGCATATAGAAGTAGTGATTTGTTGTCAAGGGCCAGCAAAGGAAGAAGGAATGTGGTCCTCCAAGTCTAGTCCAACCTTCATAGTCAGCCCCTAAAAAAAGTAATTTGAAAAAAAAACTAATTTTCACTCTAGGAATATGCAAACATGATGGAGGACTGACACCCCTCAGAAATAGTAAAATATTAACTTTTAAACAAAGATAAAAAATTGTTTTAGTCTATTATCTAGCACTTTCTAAGAAAAAACATATCAATATTGCATTCTTTTTACTTATTCTTGGTCTTCTGGGATCCTAGGTGCTACCAGATTTTTGCTCCACAAATACAGAGTCTAGAAACTTTGAGATGTTAAAACATACACTTTTTCACCTTTTAGAAGAGATGAGAGCTTCATTTAATCATGACTCCAAAGGGATGGCTTTGGCAGATCCAGTAAATATTAATTTATCATAACAGCACTGCTAGAGGTATCTGTGCACCAAGGAGCTCTTCACTTTTTACCAAAGGGTTTGAGAAATGGTGCACTACAGCAGTTGCTGAGAGGACACTCAGTGCAGTGCTTAGGTCGTTCCAGGTATCTTGCAACACCTTCATGTCACTTCAACAGGAACCTCTCACATGCCAGCCTTTCAAGAATAATCTATCTCCTTCAACAACCAGCTGCACAAAGGGAAGACTGAGGCTCTCAGTTTATTTTTCTGCATAAAATCAAAGGTCAGAGAGGGGGAAGGAAGAGACCTGAGACTGCCAAGAGATTTGGATGGGGACAGAAGAGAGGGACATCTGCTCCAGGCGGGCTGGTCAGAATGAGCACAGTGACAGCAGTGTCTGCCATCTCAACACAATGCCTTCTCCACAGTCAGCAACATTCCAATTCTCATCTTATTCTTCTTTCAACTAATATTTTATTGTGCTTTTGAATATGCAGCACAGAAAGGGAAGCTGAATTGCATGTACTGCACACACATTCTTTTCCAAGCAGTCACGTGTGCCTAATCAGCAAAAAGCACTTACATTATTTTCACAAGTTATTAACTGAAATGGGAAACCAGCTTACCATGGTTCCATTACAAAAGAGTTACTGCACTCCGGTGCAGCTGGTATAATAAGTATCAATTGGCTTGAGAGAAACCAACTAAGGCTGTACCACAACATTCAGTCTTGCATTTCCCCAGTATTTACAGGATTGCCACACACAACCTAGATCTAATCCCATAAAATGGAAGAGAGGTGCTAATCTTCAAGTTCATGCAGATCTTCAGGCCTCTGTGTAAAACAGAAACAGAATGAGAAACCAGTTGTGTTAATAAGAATATGAACAATCCAAAGAGGTATACTGGCATTAAACATTCTCAGCACTTTTCATCTGCTTGCTAGGACAACAGCCACAGTCAGTGCAGAGCTCTCATCAGAATCACTACTGCTTCAGCCAAGTTTTGCACTTAATTCTCAAGTTAGTAGCTATTTTCCTTCTTCAAGCCAATAAAGATCCATGCTGAGCTATCAAACCAACTCCTTGGACACACTCAAGAAATTTTTCCTGTTAACCTCATCACATATTTCATCTTAGAACTTTTTTTAGTGTAGATATGGAAGGATTGTTTTCTAAGCCTAAATATTAAACTTCATTAACATATATTTATATATTTAAGGCAGTATAAAGAATGCTGAAATACATTATCAAACTGCCAAGAGACATTTCAAGCACAGCAAACACCAGTGCCCCTCATGCAGCTGGAGCTCTGCTGTCATCCACAAACAGATGCATATTCTTCCCTTCATCTTTCAAACACTCCATGGACAAGGTCAGCTTTATGATTCATCTGTCACATTTCACTTTGTATGGGAACCAAAGAAAATGAAGAAAGCAGTAGCAACAAGGTAGGTTAAACACAAAGTAATGAAAATGTATTTAAGTCACACTTTTTTAGGGCATTTTTCAATGGCATTATGCAGCAACTATGACATAGGTTGCTCATCTCACAACAAGACACAATACAAATCCAAAATAACAACTCAAGCATCAGACATCAGTGTAAATGCGACCTGCCTGAGAACATCTGAAAAATACAAATGTATTGTGAGTTGACTTTGACTAAACACAAGTTGCCTACCAAGCTGCTGTCTCTCTCTTTGACAGGGAGGAGAGAAAATAGGATGAAAATAATAATGGATTAAAATAAAGACAGTTTAATAATGCAAAAGCAGAGGCTAGGCACAGAAGCAAAAGAAGACAAAAGGTGTATTCTCTATTTCCTATTAGCAGACCATGTCCAGCTACTTTTGGGGAAGTATGGCTTCGGCCCATGCAGGCAGCTGTTCTAGAAGAAAAATTCCATAATAATAAATGCCCTACACCCTTTTCCCTTAGCCTTTATTGCTGAGCAGACCTCATATGCTCTGGGATACCCCTTTGGTCAGGTGGGGTCAGCTGTCCTGGCTCTTCTCCAAAATGGGTCTCTTCCACCACAGGCTGCAGTCCTTCAGGAACAGACTGTTCCTAGGTGGGTCCCCATGGGGTCACGAGTTCTGCCAGCAAACCTGCTCCTGCACTGGCCCCTACTCCTTTGGGTACAGCCACCTGCTTCAGCTTGGGGTTCTCCCTGCACTGCAGGTGGATCTCTGCTCCACCATGGACCCCCACAGGATCCGGGGGCACAGCTGCCTCACCACAGCTTTGCACCACAGGCTGCAGGGGAATCTCTGCTCTGGCACCTGGAGAACCTCCTGCCCTTCTTCTTCACAGACCTGGCTGTCTGCAGAGCTGTTCTGCTCATATTCTCACTCGCCCCTCTGGTTGCAGTTGCTGTTGTGCAGGCTTTTTCCTCTTCTCAATTCTGTTGTCCCAGAGGTGCTCCAGCATTGCTGATGAACTCAGCCTTGGCCAGCAGTGGCTGTACCCTGGAGCCAGCTGGCATTGGCTTGTTGAATGTGGAGAAAGCTTCTCCACCCCTGCAGCTCCTCACAGAAGCTTTGTCTGCTGTTGTTCATGGTTTGTATGAAAGACAGAAGTAACAAAAATTAGTCCCTTCTGGCTCTTGGGAGATCCCACTGGAATTCCTGGGCCTGCTGTCCAACATGCCGGGGCTTCTCTTTGATCACAGACAAGTGTGCAACTGTAACACCTTTGTAACTGTAAAACAAACATATCACTGGCTATTTCACATCCAGGACATTCCTTATGAAGTTCTGACAGTTTCTTTAGTGAGAGGAAATTAGGTCACTCCAATCTTGTTTCCTGGAGTTGACAGCATTTGGTCCATAAGATGCATAGAATCATTGTTTTTCCCAACACAAATGAGTCCCTAGGCCTTTGAACACAATTAAGGTTGAATGTGGCAGTCTGAGCTTTAGAATGTAGGATCAGGATATGAATAGGGCAATAAACTAGAAAATGTCAAGAAAACACCATGTTAAAAAAACCCACTTTCTGTAAATGTTACCAGAGTCATCTTTCATACAAGCACCTTACTTTTCTGAGAGTTAGCACCACAAGGTGCTGTCCCAAACCTTCTCATAGAGGATGCCACAGGAATAGGTTCACAAAGGTATTGCTCCAGGCCAAACCAAATGGTAGTGAAAGGAATGAAATCAAGGTCTGAGTCAAAGAAGAGCCCTGCAGCAGAACAGAGACACAGCAAGGAGTTCTGTCAGTACAAAGACAGAACCACTAAAGCAGTCACACAGCCCCAGTGAGGTGGGAGGACAGCAGGAAAAAACTGAAAAAAAATTTGCCTGTGGGCTGCAATTCCAGGAGTAACCAAAAGATTTTTGACAGGTCACAGAGTCAGGAAGCATTTCTGCACTGACAGCCTCTATGTCTTCAGCGATAATGTAAACTAATCCAGCCTTGATATGAAGACACAGAACACAGAACTACTCTTGTTTCAAAACTTAGGTATAAACACAGAGATTTTTAAATCTTTGCCTCATTTCTAATCTATTTTTTTCTGGCTTCAGCTTTCAGCCACAAGTTTTGGGGTTGGGGACTCAGCCCTTTTCTGCTGTACTCTCCGTAAGAGTCTCTAGAAAGTAGTATTTCATTCTCATCCCCTAAAATCAAGATCTCAGGCTCAAGTCATTTTGTCATCTCATTTACGACAGTCTCTATCAGTACACCACAGTAAGATCACAGAACTGCTGGAAGTCTCCCTGCACAGGAAATCGTTTCCAGGCCCCCTGTTGAGGAACCATTGCTGTAACTGCACCGACAACATAATTACAGCAGGAGTGGAATTAGAGATCTCCAGGAAAAAGTACTCAGTCTCGCATGGGTTTGTGCACTTCCCCTTCACCTGCTGGCACATGCTGCTTTACAAGGCCAGCCTTAAAAAGCTGAATTCAACAAGTGTAAAGTCAGGAGGAGCAATAAAGGTAAACACTAGTGACTCTTCTCCCTCACTCCTGGGTCTCAGCCGGGTCCCTCAGCCCTCAGTGCGAACCCATCCGGAGCTCTCGAGGAGCCGGGCACAGGCACAACTTCCCCGCAGGTTCACAAAGGCATTGTGAACAGGCACAACCGGCGCCCCGCATCCCCGAGCGAGGCTTCCAAAAGCTCCGCCGGGCTGCGGGAGCGCAGGGAGCGGGCGGCACGGCCCCAGGGCGGCGAAGGGCCGCAGGTGAGCGGGCGGTGAACGCCTGTGCCCGCCCGGGGAGGCGGCCCGGGGCACGGCGCGTCCCTCCCCCGGCCCTGACGCCAGGCGCTAATGAAATGCTAATGCCGGGGCGCGCAGCCGGGCGCTGCCCGCGCCCATAAAACGCGGCGCGGCGCGGGGGCCCGGCCCGCAGCCATGCAGAGCGCGGCCCCTGCCGCCCCGCCGGCGCTGCACCTCCTCACCTCCTACTTCATCGACAGCATCCTGGGCCGGGGCCCCGCCGCGGGCCGGCTCGGTGAGCGGCGGCGGGAGGGCGGCGCGGGGCCCGGCGGCCCGGT